AGCCTTTTTTAAACTTTTGCATGGTAGAACCAGAAGCTGCTCTTCATATTAATGACTAGAATAACAGTAACAACAGTTTTTTGACAAGTTTAGTTTCTTTAAAATACATTCAAAATATTTAAAAATATATTACTAAAATTAATTTGATAAAGTGCAAATTAAAATATAGCTGTATCTGCAACTGTATTTGATAATATTTTGAACTTTTAAACTTTTGCATGGTAGAACCAGAAGCTGCTCTTCATATTAGTGACAAACTTTGACCTTTTTTGATGAGTTACCTTCATTTTTACTTCTACTTTTCATTTTAAAAAAGATGTTTTCCATTCTTAGCTGGTATCTAACGTTCTTTTTCTACTTATTAAAAAGTTGTTAAACATCTGAGTGGTGCACTACTGCTACTAGTGGTGAGAAAGTGTATTGCACCTTATTCAAAGCGGCCCTCTGCGGCCTAAAGTTAAAAACTGTTGTTCTTTCGAGGCCCTCAAGGTGGCGCTCACGGCCCACAGGTTAAGAATCACTGGTATAGCCTACATTTCCTTAGACGCCGTCTGTTTGTGCTCAGAGTATGTGTTGGGGATGAGTTTCAGCTACTACCACTGCTAATTTCAGCCCAATATCTGCAAAGTGTCTGAGTTGTTTTTTGTTAAGGTAGAATATCTGTGGCGACCATCACACATCAAAGCACATCTGATAAATCCTACCTGAGAGCATTAATAAAATGAGTCACACAAGATATTTTGCTAACACAAACTGTCTATATTTCATAGCAACAGACAATAAAACCAGTCTAAATGTTGACCTGAACTCCACCAGGTAAATGGACACTGTGCATGTTTTTGTTCAGGTTCTTTTTGAACGTTGCCCTGGTCACATCCCACTGGACAAAAAAATAAAATAAAAACATTGAGCCTGTAACTACAGAACAATAACAGGATCACCTGAGCACACTGTGGTTCAGGTCTAACAGACTCAGAGAAACAGAACCAGGAGCAAAACCAGATATAAGATAAGACAGAACTTTATTGATCCCACAAAGGGGAAATTTGCACATTACAGCAACTCAAGACAGGGGAGCTGCAGTAACAGGCTGCCTACCATGGTACCATCTTAAACAGAAAAAAAAAAACAGAAAAACCACACAAGGGAAGATGAGGAAAACAACAAAAACATCATATTATATCAACACTGTAGCTGTGTTTCCATTGCAAATGTGTGCAAAGCTTTCTCGATATTCTGTTAATGTCGAAAAACACAGTTTCGCAACTGCAGTGTTTCCATTAAGTAAGAAATGTTATTAAAGTCACGTGAATACATTTGTTCTCATGATAAGTCATTACAAACATGG